AGCTCTAGATATAGATTTAAAGTCTAAGGTACGGATCATTTGATTTGAGGGGGTAGTCTGAGATATTTTAGAGAAAAAATTCTGACCCAGATTTGCCTTAAACAAAAATTCTGGCCGTATCTGGATTGAAAACAATAATCTTGTCCACTTTTATGCTATTAGAAAAAAAAATTTTCAACAAAATTATTTAGCATTCAATGAACATGATGAATAAAAAACGGGCGTAATTTTTTTTTTTGGGGGGGGGGGGGGGGGGGGGTTGCATGTGAATCCCATATCTGACCGGAGTGTCTGTTTCGCCGAACTGATATACTGAATACTTTTTTCAAGGCCCGACTGCAACCTGCCTGCTGGGTGTGGCCTATATGTCTCCATGTGTCGACCGTCATTCACAACTTCATTGTCATTTCCGACTCATTCGTAGCCTTTGGTTGATTTGGAACCCCTCACTTCCCTTGTTGGTTGAATCATTTCAACCAAACATTTGGATAAAAATTGCTTGTTTGTCTTTCTTCGTGTCGGTCGTATTGTAAATTTCATTGAATAGCCGTATATCTTGTTTACAACAAGAAATCTGTGAGGTTATGCTAACTAACCATACAACAAACGAGAATTTTCCATGTCCATTTTTTACTGACAAATCCCACATCAAATATATTAATTAGTACATAGCTTTGGATCCATCCAATCATTTTATAATAGACAATTAATGGAGAGAATACGACACCAAAAATGTCCAACCCCTACACTTTAACTATAAAATGCAGTTTACACTTATTTTATGCTTTTTAGCCAAAAAAAGGTCCAAAAAATTTTTCAGCGAACTTTAATACTACGCCCCCCTTTCCAAAATCCTGGATCCGCCCCTGGAACGGGCGTATGGTTATTAATTGCCTATAATTGCTAACATCCAATTCATTTTAACTTTGTGGGAAAGTTGTCTCATTGGCAATCATACCACATCTCCTTATTTTTATAACAAATGTAGTTGACCTACTACTAATAAAGTATCTGAGAAACAGACTTAATCATGTAACCTTGATCCATGCCACCAGATTTGCATACCTAATGTCTCATCTCGCTTTATCTTGAGCATAATACATTCTGGTTTAAACTTACTCAATATATGATATAAAAATATCTTTTTCAACATTTTAAACATTCATAAACTAGAGGCTCTAAAGAATTGTCTATGTGCATCTTCATCAGTGAACACTCTAACATTTTAGTTAAGGAATGATTGTAATATTTTTTCTGTCTATGAAGAAATAACATCAAAAATGTGGTGCACACTGAATAACCTGCGTAGCGGGTTATTTTAAAGTGTGCACCACATTTTTTATGTTATTTCGAATAGACAGAAAAAATATTACAGTCATTTCTTATAACTTAATTCTTAATTCCATTTTAAACCGGAGTAAATCATGAAAAAATGTTGATGACGTCGCGGTTACATGACAAAATAATGTCTATGAGCTGATAAACAAAACAACGTCAGCCAATTGGAAGACGCGTTACATCCAAAATTAAATTATACTAGAATATTATTTATGAATAAAATCTCTTTTTTGTTAAACCTACATTGATGATAATTTTTTTCTGTTTACAGTTTCTCACGGTCTCCCAGTTTTTGCCCAAAACACAAAAAAGTGTTAAAATCATCAATTAAGGGCAAAAACACCTATAAAGAGTCAACTGATGATTTCAGTCATCATGGCTTATTTGTAGATCCTGTCTTACTGATCAATTTTGCTTTTTAAAATTTCTATCCATCTATAAGTTTTTAGGATAAAAGGCAATAAATTGCTTCGCCGAGCGCAGTTGGATACGACCGCAGATGTCCAACCCTGAACAGTTGGGGCAAAAATGGACACAATATTCGCGCTTGATATAGGTGTGAATTTGGATTGTAATTAAATATTTGACACATAATAGGTTTCTGACACAGATTAACTGTAGTCAAAGAACTAAGAATTGGTTATATGATTTGATTTATATTAAATTTTTTGCTTTTGTGCAATACACTATGCTGTTGCAAATTGACCCCCCACTTTTTTTTTGCTTTTGTGCAATACACTATGCCCAATTTTTTTTCACCTCCCCCCCAAAAAAAAAAAAAATTCTTTCCCTCAAGATATGGTCATAATCTCAATTCAAATTTCCAATGGAGTTTGCAACCATAATTACCCATTTAAATACATCATAAAAGTCTTAAAATACATAATCATGGCTAAAATTAATATTCCTTAATCAGCATTTTTAAATAGTAACTTTTAAAAATAAATTGACAGCTAATCACCTCAAGACAATACAACATTTCTTTATACATAATTTAAAAGCAGTGTAAGGGAGGTAATGCAAACATAACATTGTACTTTTTTTGAATTGTCCATTAACCAGGAAACCATTGTTTTTCCCCCTTTTTTGCCCCTAATTCCTAAATGGTTTGAGCCATAACCCCCCAAAGCCAATCCTAACCATCCCTAAATTTGTGGTATGGAAAATTGTGGTATAATTTCAGAGAGATCCATACACCGTTCCATAATTTATTGTCTGGAAACTAGAAAAATGCTTATTTGGGGCCCTTTTTGGCCCCTAATTCCTAAACTGTTGGGACTATAACCCCCAAAATCAATCCCAAACTTCCTTTTGTGGTTATAAACCTTGTGTTTAAATTTAATATATAGATTTCTATTTACATCTACTAAAGTTATTGTCAGGAAACCAAATGTCTTCGGACGATGACGACGACGACGTGATACCAATATACAACTGCAAAATTTTTTGCGGTTGTATAAAAACACAAAAAAATCGTAAAAATTGTATTAAAGGGCAATTACTCCAATAAGGAACTGACTGACAATTTCAGTCATGTTGACTTACTTGTCTGATCTCCATTCAAGTTTATTTTCTGCTTTTTTAATGTAATTTTTTTTTTTTCAGAATAATTTGCAGGATCTGTTAATTCTTCCGAAGCACCTGAGATCACCCACAGTTAATGGTGGGGTTCACATTGCTCAGTCTTTGGTTTTCTATGTTATGTTTTGTGTACTGTTTAGTCATGGCGTTTCCAGTTTATTTTAGACTTATGAGTTTGAATGTCCCTTTGGTATCCTTCGCCTCATTTTTGTATTAAGTGAAGAATATACTTTTTGAAGTCAAAGAAATTGTAAATTGAAAAAAAAACATATCAGAGGCCTGTTTACTGTATAGATCTACAATTTCTATCTGTTGAAAGCAAGTGTACAAATTTAATGCTTTAAACATGCATGAAATGATATTTAGTTGTATGGGCATTGTGTAATGTTTTTTTTTACTTTGAACTATCTGTAGTTAATTAGCACATGCCTCTTGTGCACCATAAGGTTTACTATTAATGTCACTTTGTCAGACTTAACTATTTACTTTAAAAGAACAAAAGGTTTAAATGACAACATCAAAGTCAGTTTTAAAACAAGAAATGTCAATGTAAATTAAATGACACTGCATACCTTTCATGACCTAATTTCCATATACAACGGTTAACATACCACATCTCTTTATTCTATGTCTAAGCTTTTCATTAATTGAAAAAAAAAATAAATAAATGGGGAATGTGTCCATGGGACACAGATGATGCCCCCGCTTGCATATCATATAACGTTATAAAGGGACATAACTGAAGAAAGGTAAAAGTGACGCTACCCAAATTTGTTATGATCTGAGTTTTGTAGTAATTTGGTTGAGGCAAACTTAAGTTAGAGAACTGAAACGAAAAAATTCAGCAATTTTTCCTTTTGTAAAGGGGCATAACTCTAGAACAGTAAATGTGACACCAACAAAATTCAAACTTGATCTGTGTTTTGTGGTAATAAGCATTGTGTATAATTTTCATAACATTTGGTTGAAGAAAAATTAAGTTAGAGAACAGAAACGAAAAATTCAGCAATTTTTCCTTTTGTAAAGGCGCATAACTCTAGAAGGTTGAAGTGACACCACCAAATTTCAAACTTGATCTGTATTTTGTGGTAATAAGCATTGTGTATAAGTTTCACAACATTTGGTTGAGGCTAACTTAAGTTAGAGAACGGAAATGAAAAATTCACCAATTTTTCCTTTTGTAAAGGGCCATAACTCTAGAATGGTTAAAGTGATGCCACCAAATTCAATCTTGATCTGTGTTTTGTGGTAATAAGCATTGTGTTTAAGTTTCATAACATTTGGTTGAGGAAAAACTAAAGTGAGAGAACAGAAACGAAAAATTCAGCTATTTTTCCTTTTGTAAGGGGGCATAACTCTAGAACGGTTAAAGTAACGCCACCAAAATTAAATCTTGATCTGTGTTTTGTGGTAATAAGCATTTTGTATAAGTTTCATAGCATTTTGTTGAGGCAAACTAAAGTTAGAGAACGGAAACCAACTTTTGAACGTAGGGACATATGTGCAGACGTACTGAAGGACATACAGACAGACAAGGGTAAAACTTAATGCCGTCTCCACTACGGCGGGGGCATAAAAAATTTTCCTACCTACCTAATGTACCTGACAGGTAGTCTCAGGGTGGGGAAAATTAACAATATTTCAATTTTGCCCCTGCATGACATCAAAATCTATATTTTCTGAGTTTCATTTAAATCTATCTGAATATGAGTCAGGGCTCACGCTACCAGGCGACTAGGGCGAAGAAGTCGCTTTCCCGTCCGTCACTTCGCTTTGCCCGACCCTCAAAAGCGAAAACAAGTCGCCCTATTGTTGACGAGTACTGTAAATTCAGAAATGATTGCCTGCATTTATTATTGCGATTTTAAAAGAATAGACTAAAATGCGAGATTAATTATTGGGATTTCAGGAAAATCTGCATACAGATTTTTGTATCAGATATCAGAAAGAGAGTTCTTATTATTGTGATGATCACCAGTTCACATTATTCGCATTAATAAAAACCTCGCAATAATTTCTGAATTTACAGTAGTTGTGTTTAGGACTGGATTATATATCTACATTGCTGATAATTTACTTACTTTGTTTATGGGCATGAGCCACGACAGGTACATCTTCTTTAAGTACATCATCGTAACAAGATGTTCCAACTTGTTGGTTTGGTAACCTGCACATGACTATAGCTGACCTATAACATTAATATTTATGTATGCTATTTTTTTGTGTTTTATTGTTTTAATTATGATGTAGAATGGATTTAATTGTCATAAGTGACAGAAATTTTACCAACATGTCAAAAAATATATACCGTAATACGATAAAAATGTTTTATGCACTTGACTATAACAAAAGTCAGGTGTAATCTACCTGGAATGATACAATTCCACTTTCATTGATTTATTGTTACTAACTATATATATCCTTTTGGCAATCAAACAATGTGAAAAATTGCTGATTTTCCAAATATTAAATTCAGAAATCTGAAAAGATGAAAGTGAAAATAGTCAAAGGTTAACAAACCCTCAGAATACCATAAGATTGATGCATATCAAATGATACTATTTTAAGTGCAAGTCCTTTTCTTTCTTACCACTGGTAAGCATCTATTTTAGAAAATGTAACTGTTAGGTCAAATCTGATTGATATCTAAATAATTTAAAACTGTTTGTATCTTTGACAGAGAAATATGTAGGTCAAGTCTTAATGAAAAGATGCAGTCAGGTATACATAAGATTAACACATGATTAATAAAATAGATAAATCAGATTGAATTCAAATAAAAAAGCTTAACATTTATTTTGTGCCAAGGATTATTCTATCATAATTCTTATAAGGATTGGTTCACCGAACAAGTTGTTCGAAAAAACATTTGTGTTCATCATGAGACATTTCAGACATCTACCATATAACAAGTGTATTCACCATGAGACATGACAGACGTCTTCCATATAACTTCACCATGAGACATGACAGACATCTATCATATAACAAGTGCATTTACCATGATACATGACAGACGTCTATCATATGACAAGTGTATTCACAATGAGACATGACAGACGTCTACCATATAACATTAGTGTATTCACCATGAGAGTTAGTGTATTCACCATGAGAGATGACAGACGTCTATCATATAAAAAGTGTATTCACCATGAGACATGACAGGTGTCTACCATATAACAAGTGTATTCACTATGAGACATGACAGACATCTGTCATATAACAAGTGTATTCACAATGAGACATGACAGACTTCTTCCATATAACATTAGTGTATTCACCATGAGACATGACAGACATCTATCATACAACAAGTGTATTCACCATGAGACATGACAGGTGTCTACCATATAACAAGTGTATTCACCATGAGACATGACAGACGTCTACCATATAGCAAGTGTGTTCACCATGAGACATGACAGTCGTCTACCATATAACAAGTGTGTTCACCATGAGACACATGAGACATGACAGATGTCTACTATATAACAAGTATATTCACCATGAGACATGACAGATGTCTATCATATAACAAGTGTATTCACCATGAGACATGACAGATGTCTATCATATAACAAATGTGTTCACTATGAGATTTGACAGATGTCTACCATATAACCAGTGTGTTCACCATGAGACATGACAGATGCTACCATATAACAAGTGTATTCGCAATGAGACATGACAGACGTCTACCATATAACAAATGTGTTCACCATGAGACATGACAGATGTCTACCATATAACCAGTGTGTTCATCATGAGACATGACAGATGCTACCATATAACAAGTGTATTCACCATGAGACATGACAGACATCTACCATATAACAAATGTGTTCACCATGAGACATGACAGATGTCTACAATATAACAAGTGTGATCACCATAAGACATGACAGATGCTACAATATAACAAATGTGTTCACCATGCATCCATGAGACATGACAGATGTCTACCATATAACAAGTGTGATCACCATAAGACATGACAGATGCTACCATATAACAATTGTATTCACCATGAGACATGACAGACCTCTACCATTTAACAAGTGTGTTCACCATGAGACATGACAGACGTCTACTATATAACAAGTGAAAACAGAATCCTGTCATATATTAACACTTAATGGAAAGTTTCAAATCTATGATAAAAAAGTTTGCCTCTTCCCAAACTTGGCTGAATACTATAATACTTAAAAGCATTGAAACAGACATATGTCTCGCCTAGTTGTAATTTTGATTGAAGAATGCAAATCCTGAATTTTAAATTTCAACACTTTGTGGTTTGAGCAAATGTTACAAAGTTGTGGGTTCTTAAATTAGTGGATTTTAGTTTTCTGAGAAAAAAATCAGGGGAAAAATTTTACGCCATCAGAAACAAAGATTTTTGAAAATATTATAATGATTTGTTGGACATTGCAAAATAAGGTGTTCATTTTCACTTACTTGTTCGTTCCTTACAGACAACATTCATCAAATTTTTAATGAAATAATTGCTTTCGGAAATTAACTGATTCATCTATCATCTATGCTTACAAATTGTCTCAATTGATGGAAATTGTAACATAAACATTATAATTGTTGCACATTGTAATCAGAAGTGTTGAGACTAATTAACCCTTTGATCCAATGATCAAAAGATTTTTGATCATCAAAGGTGTTAATTGGACAATAAACATGTCACTTAAAGAAAACACAAAAAATGCTACAAATGTACTTTGAATTGTAGAATATTCATATGATGAAGATATAATCTTTCAATCAGTTTAATTGAGGTCTGGATCTGGCATGTCAGTAACTGCTCAGTTGTCTGTTGTTATTTATGTATTATTGTCATTTTGTTTATTTTCTTTTGTTTCCTATTCTGACATCGGACTTGGACTTCTCTTAAACTGAGTTTTCCTGTGCGTACTGTTGTACTTTTATTTTTTCTACATTGGCTAGAGGTATAGGGGGAGGGTTGAGATATCAAAAAACATGTTTAACCCTGCCGCATTTTTGCACCTGTCCCAAGTCAGGAGCCTCTGGCCTTTGTTAGTCTTGTATCATTTTTAATTTTAGTTTCTTGTGTATAATTTTGAGTTTAGTATGACGTCCATTATCACTGAACTAGTATAAATATTTGTTTAGGGGCCAGCTGAAGGACGCCTCCGGGTGCGGGAGTTTCTCGCTGCATTGAAGACCCACTGGTGGCCTTCGGCTGTTGTCTGCTCTATGGTCGGGTTGTTGTCTCTTTCACACATTCCCCATTTCCATTCTCAATTTTATTATGAAATAAAAAAGCAAGCCCAATATGAAACAAGAAATGATTGTAACAGGATGCTGTTATGAAGTCTCCCAAACTAAGTCCCAATAAGTATAAACCCTTAAAGACTCTCCCTATTGAATAAATTAAAACAAGAATGTGTCCATAGTACACAGATGCCCCACTTGCACTATCATTTTCTATGTTCAGTGGACAATGAAATTGGGGGTCAAAACTCTAATTTGGCATTAAAATTAGAAAGATCATATCTTAGGGAACATGTGTACTAAGTTTCAAGTTGATTGGACTTCAACTTCATCAAAAACTACCTTGACCAAAAACTTTAACCTGAAGTGGGACAGACGGACGGACGGATGAATGGACGCACAGACTGAAAAAAATAATGCCCCTAGGTGGGGCATAAAAAGTTCAAGGTCATAATTGACCATTGACCTTTTGACCTTTCCGTAGGCCATACTTTCCCATGGTCATTACTGAAGACCTTATGTGTCTATCACTAACTGTTCTCATTTGAAAATAAAAAATCTTAAAATCCCATGGGGTTCTTAAGTAAACCCCTCCCTTCTTTTGGCCTTCAAAGTCCTCCTTTATAGACCACAATGCACAAACAAAATCCTGATTACACTTTAATACTATTTTATTTTTCGTATGGGAATTACTAGTAAGAGGAGATAAAACAAACACTTCATCATCGCATATCATCACCGGAAGTCTGACTTTCATCAATCAAAACTAATTTTTCATGCGAATTAAAAGGTAAAAGTCATACAGTTTAGGTTTTTTTAAAGATTAAATTGGTAAAACCCCGTCTGAATTTGTATATAGTAATAGTTCATAGTGTGTTTGCTGATATTGGATGTTTTCTCTAGATTATATGCCCGTATCCATGTAGTCAAACCTAAATAGGGATCTTTCCATGTCTTAATTTGGACAAAAGTTGTTATATTTCATTGGACACTTAAATTCATGGATAAAGCCATCTAGGAAAAACACGAAAATTGGTACCTCATGAATAAAAGTACTTTCACAGTATATGACATTGAAAATGAATTGTTGTACAGTGACATAGGTTATTTTTTATTTCTTTCCATAATCGCCTTATAATTTAGGTCTTTATTCTGTTGAACCAAGATGGAGAATTTTTCATTTTTGAGGCATATTCTTGACGTTTTTCAATTCTAGAAGGTGCATTGTGTTTCTAAATCTTCTTTTTTTTTATATAATATTAATTGTAACTAATGATTTTGATATGGCTGTAAAAAGCAATTTTCAAAAGACAGTGAAATATATTTTTTTATATTTTATATTATTCCAGAAAGAGGAATTGAAAATAAAACTAGTTTGATTAAAATTGGGGTTTATTCTTCATTTCAAAACATTAATTTTCTGTATCAAAAGCAATATATAACAGATAATAAACATAAATAAGTCTTATTGCAGTTTCCTCATGTTAGATTTATTTAATTTTGCCTTATGTTCCAAGCGAATAACTGACAATTGTCACCTTATTTAATGAATGGCTATTATTTATTTTGAATTTATTGAACCATAAAATTAATTTTTGACTCTCCCGCGAAGCGGATTATTCAATGTGAAGAGTCAAAAAATTAATTTTATGGTTCAATAAATTCAAAATAAATAATAGCCATTCATTATAAATAAATTTCTATCAAAAATAAGGCTCAAAGAGCTTTTTATATTATTTATATTAACAATAACAACGTACACACTTGTTGCCGTATGAATACACAACATCAGAGTGGGCGTGTCGCCATAAAAATTGACAACATTGAAAATAAAGGTAATACTTTTAACCAATCAGAGGACAGTAAATACACCAAATTTATTTATTTAATGAATGGCTATTATTTATTTTGAATTTATTGAACCATAAAATTAATTTTTGATTCTTCACATTGAATAATCCGCGAAGCGGATTATGTAAAATGTGAAGTCAAAAATTAATTTTATGGTTCAATAAATTCAAAATAAATTATTGCCATTCATTATAGATAAATGTCTATCAAAAATAAGGCTCAAAGAACTTTTTATATTATTTATATTAACAATAACAACGTAATGTCACATGGTGGTGTATGAATAATTAACGTCAGAGAGAATGAATGAACTGTCATGGCCTCCACGTCATCGGAATTTTATGAGACAGGTAAACTCTTTTCCAAAAACAACAGTTTACTGTGGATTATTGATTTGAAATGTGCAATTATGGAAAGAGGAATTAGAAATAAACCCTGACGACATGAAGTTGTTTGACGATAAGGCGGTATTCATAGTGTTTACGTTTGGAGTGTAACGAGCCGCCAAAACTGAGCTCACACTGGCAGGTTTGTTTTGTACAGCCATCGGCATTGGCATCGCAGTCTGTGGCGGTGCGCGTCCTGTGGATAGAGTTGAAAGTGTGTCACTCATTGATTTCTTTTAGAGGGTAGAACAGTCCCGACTGTAGCTTTGTACAGATGCCTCATTCCGGTGACCGCTCATATACATAATATGCCGGATTTCGAAGCCAGCGTCACTCATTGCTTGGATCGCTGTTGCCCGAAGACAATGAGCTGAGTACATTACACTACAGGAGGCATTTTTCGACACATCTGCCATGAATCTTGTGAATTGGTAAGATTTTACCGATTTGTTAGTGTACCATAGTTGTAAAATGTTCGGAGTTTTGGACGACAACGCATCTTTATTAATGTGATTGAAAAGTGAAGTTGTATCTGGATCAGTTTTCAAAATCAGCAATTTCAATGAAGCAACTGGGCAGCGATTGCCGTCACATGAATACATTCGTTTGTCACTTATAGTTTCTCCAGAGTCTACTCCGCCTTGCCAATTTTTCTGTTTCATTTCGTGTGATAAACAGGCATATTCGCGATTGTTTTCATCAAAGTGGAATTCAAACGAGTTTATCTGAAGTTGTTGATGAAACTCTATCCCACGGGTCACAAAATGCATAGCAATATTATACCACACACGGAATCTTAGGATAATTGGATCATCAGATGAGTACAGGTAAGAATTTATCTTTTCCAAATCATTCATGGTTATAATCTGTTTATGTTTTGTAGGACGAGAGAGACCTTTTTCAAGGTTTTTCTTTAATTTTCCATCAAGAGTTTCATTTGCCTTCCTAAATTCTTTATCGCGAACGATATCAATATCCCTATCTAAATCATGAATGTGGCGGTTGATTGCTGTCCTTATGTTTTTCATTGAATTTTTGTGATACTCTTTTGACTGGGCAGTTGACATTTCCTTGCCTCTTTTTTCGGAAAATTTTGGGGTTGCCCCAGCGTAAAATTTACCCAAAACGTTGTTTAATTCCTCTGTTTCAGTAGTTGCGAAATCCAATACTTGATCCAGGGCTTCCATACACCATTCTGAAAAATAACAAAATAAGAAATTCAATTTGATTTTCAAACATAGGAAAGAGGAAATATTCAATATTGGTAGAAAAACAGCAAATAAAATTTATTATATAGATTCAGATAGCTCAGTGGCAGAGCGCTCATGTTTTTTGAGAGGTCCAAGGTTCAAATCCTGGTCTGAATTTACATTGTTTTATTTTGAGTGTATAGAACAGTTGTGTTTGTACATTGTATTTAACTCATTTAACTGAGTATAACAAAATCATAAACAGTGTTTCCATAAGTTTGTATTTACCTTGGAAAACTTTGACTCCCCACTTTGTGTTTTGTTTGGTTGATTAAGCCTGTCGACTTTCTTGCAAATCTTTCAGTTCTTCTGAGGTAACAGTTTTAAATCGTTTCTGTGTTTTTTGAAGCCCAGAAACTGTAGGCCTTTCAACTTCAACCGGCTTGGGTGCCAACGGAATCTGAGATGGGGCTTGTGGCTGCGTTTGTGGTGCCATCCAGGATTTTCGGGAGCAATGTTTAGCTCAACAAGTTCAATATTTTCCAAGTTATCTTTAAACAACCGTCCCAATAAATCTTCTTCACTGTACAAGTCCATTTCAATCAGCTTTTTGCCCCCACCGATGTCGAAATCCGGCACCTCTTCCATCTTTGCCTTACTAGTATTGAGCAGACGACAGGAGTTGGGGAGGGACGGAGTCATACATGTACATGTAGTTCGGGGGTTAGATGGGTAGGATAACACATTTAAAACATTTAAAACAACAAATGATTGAACAAAACTTTATTGTTTTGCTCTAAATCGTATTGCTACAAATGTATCAAGTAAAAGAATTTTTGAATCAATAAAAAAGTAGTTCCGGTAAAAGTGGGCGTGTCGCCATAAAAATTGACAACATTGAAAATAAAAGTAATACTTCTAACCAATCAGAAAACAGTAAATACACCAAATTTATTTATTATTGATTAAATACATTTCATTATAGCACTAGTTAAAGTTTTTATTCATACAGATTTTTTTTTTGTCTTTCCTTTGAAACAAAATACATCTTTTTAATCTTTAATCATTCATTTTTGAGACATAATTTAGAGAATTATTTTATACAGTGTAGATCAATAGTAATAGGTAAATAATCAAATATATAATTTATAGATTAAAGATTTGACATAAAATTGAGAATGAAAATAGGGAATGTGTCAAAGAGACAACAACCCGCCAAAGAGCAGAAAACAGGTCAAGAATTTTATTCATAGAGCTATGTATTGAGTTGTCTAATAAGAGCCTGCTAAATTATGTAAGTAAAATGTAAGGTAGTTCCATCATTTGAGATTGACTGGGAAGAGGAGGAGTTTACAATAAAAACTCCACCTTTGTCTATGGTGGTTTGTTTGTCTTAACAGTTGTCAATCATACTGGTATTGTGTCAGTACTCTTACTAATTGATAACAAGAGTGCACATGCTTAAAAGTCTCGTCTGCTATACTTATCATGATTGAATTTATGTTGAAAGTCTGTAATATGAAGGTTTTACTACATGTATCACATGCATTTAACATTATCAATAAAATGCTCCACAGGGCGCAGCTTAATATGACGGCAGATGTCGAACCCAGAACAGTTGGGGCAAGTATGGAAACAACATTTAAGCTTGATACAGCTCTGAATTTTGGATTGTGATTACATATTTGACACAGCATAGGTTTCTGACACAGAATGTATGTATGGTCTAAGTATGTAAGTCACAGTGACCTTTTTGTTGGACGCTGCTCTTCTCCTTATGAAGCATTCATACACCAAAATTAACTTTATTTGTTTATTGGTTAAATTTTTGTTGCAAAGCATTCATTTTCTGATGTCGATACAAACATGAATTATTTTTGTCCATAAAGGAGTAGGTCCGGTAAGGACCGATTTTGGCCTCAAATTTCAGGTTCATCTGATGAAAGATTTTGGACACTTTTTAAACACTTAAGTGTCTACTTCAGTCGATTCAATTAGTTTATGTGAAAGATTTGAACTGATTTAGTCATTAAAGACGTTCAAATTCAAGCTTGAAAAAGAAAACTCTATCAAATATGCCATAATATGTCACTTTTCAGATGGTTTTTGTCAAAAATGAAAGTGGCCGCATCCGTGTTCATCCTCAATCTTTATATATGTTATGTATTATCATCAAATACAACTTACATTTAAATATTAAGAATGAACACAAATGCAGCCACTTCCATTTCAGACGGAAACCGTCTAAAAATTAACCAAAATGCTAAAATTTCGAAGATTTCATTAATTTAGCATGACTTAATGATGCTAGTACCCGATACATGTACTTTGTATTGTCAAAAACAGCCCATATTTATGTAACAGAAGTATTCTTCTTTCCAATAAATAGCTAAAAATTTACATTTTAACAATTTTGTAAACCTGCTATATTTTGGGGCCAAATAGGGGTCTTACTGGGCCTACTCCTTTGCTATATTTCAACCAAATTAAATTGTAATAAATTATTATCAATGTTAACATTAGGAGAAAACAAACAACAACTGATGAATACATTATGATCAAATAAACAAAAAATCTTTAGACATTTCTGTGCTTTTCAACACCTGGTTTGTTAAATTCAAACCATAAATGCCATCAAAATAATTTGTTTACGGATGGATGGAAGATGGATACTTAGTCATGTTAGTGATGACAAAACCGCATGCTGGCTATTTTGGGCAGGTGAGTTAAGAAAAAAAATGTTTTGATCCCCTACCTGTGGTCAATAAACCATATGTTTCCAAGCAAATCAAACTGAGTAACAAATTCATCATCTTTAGCATAAAGTGTGGGTACTTCATTTATAATTCCTAGCCTACTAGATTGTCCTACTGCTATTAACCACCTGCTATCAATAACTGAAAAATAAACAACATATATTAAACTTATAAATGATGACAGAGTACTGTAAATTTAGAAATTATTGCAGGCATTTATTATTTTGACTTTTAAAAAATGGAAAAAAAAGTGAGTTTAAATATTGCGTACAGATATCAGAATGTAAGTTCATATTATTGAAATAATCATCCAGTTGCATTATCTTGAATATTGGCAATAATAAAAACCTCACAATAATTTCTGAATTTACAGTATACATCTATAGTTGACCTACCACTTATAATATCTGAGAAATGGATCTAACCACAAAACTTAGCATTGACCAATGAACCTTGAAAACAAGGTCAAGGTGAGATGAACCCTGCCAGGGGGTCATGTACACCTTACAATTATTTCATACACCTTCACCAAATACAGTTCAACTAATGCTAAATAGTAGTTGTAAAACCAAGACTTATCATTAAAACTTAATGTGGACCAATGAACCATATAAATAAGGTCAAGGTCAGATAAACCCTGCCAGACGTACATGGACACTTTCCAATCATTCCATACACCTTCACCAAATATAGTTTACCTACAGCCTATTGTATTAGAAAAATATTATCATGAAAAACTTACTGCTGATCAATGAATTATCATTTTATGAAAACGAAGTCGAGGTTCAATGAAACCTGCCAGACTGACATGTACACCCTATATACATTTCATACTGAATCATACATCAAATATAGTTGACCTATTGTTTATAGTCTCTTACATGTGTTAGAAACTGACATATTCATGAAAACTTGATGTTGACCACTGATCAATTAAATCAGGTCAAGGTCAGGTCAGAACTTTCACGGACATGTTTTCCTTGCAATGATTCTACATATCACACAAAATTGCTACTGGTAATTCAAAATAGTGACAAACAGGAAGTAGGTATCTGACCGACATTGAAAAGTGTTCACATGTATCACTGTCAAGCTGGTGACCAGACCCAAAGTTTTTCTATAAAGTATTACCTGAGAACAGTGTGACAAAAATATTTGTTGAAAAAATTGATAAATGGACGGACTGATGAGGAGTATGCAATAAGCTCCCACTCTTACAGAGGGACATAATGTAATAAAATCTGTAGAGCTTTTTAAATAGTAGCTGAACCATGAACTAAAATGAGCTCACGACAAGGAAAATGGACATATGCCAGACAGAAACTTCGCAACAAAATCCATCATGATCAGTATCAGCGCTACTCTATCTGGTTAATTTGTGAATACACTACTAAAGAATTCAGCCCAGATTACGCCTTTTAAAAGTTGTCAGTTTTCTTTAATGTTGTGTCTTTCTGATCTACTTATAGGTCAGCTATACCTGACCTAGTCTAGAATTGATGTAGGACCATATAATGTTTGGATTTGTCTTGGCTTTCTTTGATAAGTCTTTCTCATAGTTTTTTCTTATCCTTCTGTTTAGGGACTTTACTTGGTTCCTAATTTTGTTGTTTTGTTTTCTTATTGGAGAGTCTTTTGAACTGTAGCTTTGCTTTGACAGTGAGTGTGTTTTTCTAATTTTATAACTTTCTGTCCACATAGAGTCATTGTGTTGAGCAGCACCTGAAATAGTAACAGAAATATTTCTTGGAGGCCACTTGATTGAGGGACAGACAAGGAGCATGCAACATCATAAATAACTTTTATAACCTAGCAACTAAAAGATGCAATAACTAACCTCCAGATTCTGAGCAACCATTTCTGCCTGTCTTATTGATCTTTAATTGACCTTTCAAATGAACCATCTCATATTGTTTTTCTGTATCATTTCTGTCAAAGGCTTTCAACATTCTTACATAAAACGATTTCTCACTATTAAATGATGAATTAACTGAAATATCAAAAGACATTCTATATCATAAATGTTAATTGGCAGATTACAAACTCTTATATCAATAAAATTCAAGTAAAATTTTCCTGATTTCCCCCCCCCCCCCCCCCCCCCCCCCCAAATTGACAACAGAAATTGATGTATAAGTATAACAAACAATTTGAAAAGTAGAAGAAATTTTAATTTTTAATAGTTTTTATAAATGTATTTAAGGAATAACTGTAATATTTTTTCTGTCTATGAAGAAATAACATCAAAAATGTGATGCACACTGAATAACCCGCTAAGCGGGTTATTTTAAAGTGTGCATCACATTTTTTATGTTATTTCGAATAGACAGATAAAATATTACAGTTATTTCTTATAATTTAATTCTAAATTCCATTTTAAACCGGAGTAAACAATGAAAAAACGTTGATGACGTCACGGTCACATGACTAAATTATGTCTATGAGCTGATAAACAAAACAACGTCAGCCAATCAGCAGACGCGTTACATCCAAAATTAAATTATTATAATAGATTAATTACTTTTTTACTACACAGAATGAATCATCTTTCACCTGACCAAACCAACATTTTCTTAACGTTTGCAAATATTATTTTTCAATTATGAAGGCACTAGTCTTGTCTACTTTGGAGAACCAAATGCTGACCTCTAAATGTCTTTGGATTTTTTTTAATACTTGATTGCTGTCTCATTGACAAATACCCTACAGTATCTTTAAATTATTTTTATAGAGTAACTAATGGTTGATTGCTTAAGCTTATACTGTGAATTAATTTATAACAGGCTATTATTACAACTTGGAATTATTTTTAATTATGTAATTTTCATAATTTTTTCTGCTTGAAATTTTTAATAAATTCCATGTTTATTCTGTATTATAATGTTTAGAGAGGTGCATAACACGTTTCCATACAGTGTATTTTGTATAGATAGTGTTGTGAGCCGCACAATACATCCTATTGAAAATGTGCTATCTTCTTTGTAATAGAAAGTGTTGTGCGCCGCACAGAACATTAAAATACAGAATAAACATGGAATTTATTAAAAATTTCAAGCACAAGGAATTATGCAAATTCCATAATTAAAAATAATTCCAAGTTGAAATAATAGCCTGTTTTATGTTCATGAGTACTAATTTTCATGGATAGAAGAAAAAATTTTGTTCTTCATGGATATTTGATTTCTTGGTCTTATTAAAGTCTGCAAACAGACATAAAGAAAATTTGTATTTTGATGAACTTTTTAAAATAGTGGTTCACCTATACAAAATCCATGAAAATCTTATTCAACAAATAATAATGACTCCACAGTACCTGACATATGTATTGAAGAAGAACTTACATCCTGTATAACAATTGCCATTAGGTTTGATGAGGGAATCATTCATGGTATGACCTAAATCCTCATTTGAATCATTGAGCTGCTTTCTAAATAATTCCATGTCATCAGGGTGGACAAATTTACTCAGGTCTGATCCAACCATATCAACCTATAGAATCAAAACAAACTTTTTATATAAGTTAAACATTTTTGTAGTATTTAAACCATTTTTAAAGACTTTCATCAACTGGGCTTCTTCACTGTTATCTTTTTAAAATACATTGTAGATGAGTCACCTTTCATAAAGCATTGAGAAAACATCTAGTGAATTTTGGGAAAAGTGACAGAAAGAGTTGTGGAAAAAAGGCACAGAAAAAGAGGTCACTGGAGATAAAGCCACATTCATAAATATAATGAGTGAAATAACTTGTGTAACCGGAGAGCATGATTCTGCTTACAAAATCATCTTTGTCTCCTCCGGGAATGGAACCCAGGACCTCTGTGTTACAAGGCAGCGTGCATACCGACTGAGCTAAAGAAGTACTTCCTTAGATCAACCGCTTACGGCTGACTAAGTATCTACTAATGAAGGGAAGCAATCCCGTCACACTTCCCCCACATCAAGAGTCATCATACCATTATGACTCTCACAACACATACCCTAGCTGGAAATCCTCTCTAACCCCTGTGTTTTTTTCAGTTGGGCGCCAAATGTAACCCGAGAGCATGATTCTTCTTACAAAATCATCTTTGTCTCCTCCGGTAATCGAACCCAGGACCTCTGTGTTACAAGGCAGTGCGTATATCGACTGAGCTAAAGAAGTACTTCCTTAGATCAACCGCTTACGGCTGACTAAGTATCTACTAATGAAAGGAAGCAATCCCGTCACACTTGTAAAATTAAATTAACTTTTATTTTTTTCTTTCTTTTTTATAAAATTTTGTTAGTTCATTAAAATATAAATATCAAAGTGCTTGTGAGCACTGAAGGGTAAAGATTGCTTTCATTTTGCAATTTTGTGATTTTTTTAATAAAACATTGAATTGTATTTTGCTAGGTAAATTAAAAATTTGAGTTGGAGTTATCTTCCTTTGATCATGATTGTACATTTGTAGTTGAAACTATTTTTATAACAGATTCATACAACATGCATTATTTATATGTGTAATTTTTAATTAATGCTTTCCTGACAAGTATGGTAATTCAAATACACACCATATATATACTTAAATATCAAAGTATAACATATCATCAATAAATTGCATGACATTGACAGATAGGATCTAAATAATCATCACTTCACTGCAGGGGCCTCGGTGGCCGAGTGGTCTAAGTAGTTACTACTGTAATCACTAGCCAGTCAACACTGAGGTTGTGAGTTCGAACCCCGCTCGTGCGGGTGCACTCGACTCCAATCTTAATTGACTAGGCGCTCCGGCTTCCTCCACCAATAAAAACTGGCCGCCACGAAATAGCCCAAAAGCGGTGTTTAAAAGTGGCGTTAAAACACCAAAAAATCAAATCACTTCACTGCTATATCAAAGGTACCCAAACAGAAAAATAAATGAACAAATTACTTTCAAATCGTATTCAAATCTCTTTCAAATCGTAATTCTGCAATTTGTTAGTACCATTTGCTTGCGATTCATTAAAAAAATTATAAACAAATCAGAATTCGCCAAATTCCCAAAACTGATTTCTTTGTGATTTCTTTCAAATGTATGATTTGTTAGCAATTTGTTTCTGTTTGTGTGTGATTTCTTTATGATTTGTTTACTTTGAATATCGTATGAAATGATTTCAAAAAGATTAGTTAACTTTATTCCCCAAAATAGTGTGATTTCGTTATGATTTGTTTACTTGGAATATCATAGGAAATGATTTGAAAATGATTTGTTAACTTTGTTAGCTATCATGGTGTGATTCATTGATGATTTGCTACAATGAAAACAATGTTATTGCATTCAGATTTTCTGGGTTTGTCTTTATCTCTGACTTCCGGTTGAGGTCAAATTCAAATTTCAAATACTGTTCTACATTAACTGAACAAAGAAGGTTGCAAGATGAAGAGTAAGATATACTATCAATGATGACAGTGGTAAGTATCTTAGTCATTAACTTATTGTTTCAGGAATTCAATTGTAAGTCAACTATTCAAACATGTCAAAGGTGTTAAACTTTTATATTCGGAAACTGTGCATTTCAATATCTCGTTATGTGTACTGTCTGGATAAAATTTCAAAAAAAATGTGTAAAAGACATGTAAACAGAACGAGACGAGCAATTAAAGAGTAGCTTCCCTAGTCAGCAGACAATATGCACTGGCAAGTTTTATGTTTAAATTTTTCATGATGTTGACTGGTCAGGTATAGAGCTGTAGCAGATTTGGACCCAGACTAAGACCCATCGCCTACTAGTATTGGACATCCTTCTAGTAAACGTGGTTGCCCATGTTGTCAAATCTCGTTAGTTTCAAATTCTGGAGAAGTGAGAGAAACTTTTCACAGAGCGAACAATTGCTCCCTCATGACAACCCGAAATAATAATCTCTTAACAATCAGAGGAGTAGCTAAGGTAAAATAAAGACAAGTGCACTTCAAAGTTTGGGGGTCTCAGGGGCAGAACAGATTTTTGATCCAGATGTAAATGATTTAATCTGTGAATCGATGATGATGTCAATTAATTGACGATTTGCTTGTGGTTTGCTTAATGTAGGAATATGATTTACTTCTGATTTGTTAAAGATTTGATAACGATTTGTTTATAATTTCTTCATAATTTGAAAACCATTTGTTTGCGATTTGCTTGAGGTAGGAATATGATTTACTTCTGATTTGTTAAAGATTTGATAACGATTTGTTTATAATTTCTTTACAATTTGAAACAAATTTGTTTGTGATTTGCTTAAAGTAGGAAAGCAATATCCTCTGATTTGTTAATGATTTCAATACAATTTTTTTACAATTTGTTTATGATTTGCTTATGAATTGGAAGCAATTTGTTTGTGATTTGTTGTTGTGATTTGTTAGCTCATTTGCATGTGAAATTTTTTCACTTTCAAATCATAAAGAAATCATATGATTTGGTTATCATTTGTTACCATGATTTGTTCCTCACTTTTTTTTGTTTGGGTAGTGATAAACCTTGAAAGATATAGATATGAAGTCAGTACCAAAGGGTTTTGATTGCATTTCATGCAATCTTTATCCCAAAAAACAATGTTTCATAGAGTTTATTTTTCTCTTGTTTATTGGTAAATTTTTAAAAAAATGTTTGAAAACAACTCAATTCTAAAATCAGCATTTTTATTTCTTCAAATGTTATAAAAGTGTTATATTCTGTACAGACAGTTGATGATTGACAGAACATATTAATTGTAAATTGAAACTAGGTAATTAATCTAATAACCTCTTTGTTGCATTATTTCAAAACTTGACATCAACATTGTCTAAATTATATTTATCATGTTTATAATCAGTAAAGTTTATTCAATTGTAATTAATAATAACATTGAGGTACCACACCCAGCTGATTAATATCTAACTTAAAGAAAGCCATATATATATATATATATCAGTTTTCAAATGCAATCTTTCAAACCTTTTTCTCTTCAAAAGATGTTGAAATATTCTGAAATAATCCACTTGTACTAACTACATCTAGGATACATTCAAATATTTTTTCAGCAATTTTTTCCCTAAATACAAAAAATGGACATCATTTCCTACTGATTTGTGACATTTTCCCTACATGTACCAATGTGTGACTTTCTTTTCCTATGACTTATTTTCCTACTAGAATTGTGACTCTTTTTTTTCTTTTTCCATTTACTCATCTAGTGGATGTGAGTCACAAAAATTCTGTATAGATAATTTATCCATCCAAGGTACAAGGGCAATAACTAAAAATAAGCACCTTTTTTGTTCTTTAAAACTTTTTATTAATATCTTATAGAAATGAAGGCTTCAGAGCAAACGCAATGTGATTTCCATTATGATTAATATTTCCAAGGGGCATAACTTGTTAAAATTATTTGATCAGAACTTAATTTCGAAAATGTCAAAGACATAGCTGATATAAACCTATGATATAAGTTTCATAAAATTCTGGCAAGGACTGTACAAATGAGAGCGCTAACAATGCAATTTTCCATTTAATAAATGTTTCCAAGGGGCATAACTCTTTTAAAAATAATTGATCGGCACTGATTTTCGAACTTGTCCAAGATATTGCTGATATAAACCTATGATCATGATGATATAAGTTTCATAAAAATCTGGCAAGAATTGTACATGTGAGAGCGCTAACAAGACCAGACAAACCGACACCTGGTTGCCCGGTATTTCTATGTCCCCTGCAACACATCTCGCGGGGACATAAATCTCCCCAATTATCCTAAAGGCATGCATATCTGGTAATACCTACATGACAAAGCTTGCATATTACATATATTTTGCAAATGTTTTATGACTTTTACTCTGAATATTTACATAATACTAGTGTCCCTGCATGCTAATTTTTACATAACAAATATATTAATACAAACAGATGGTACTTTGTATTAGGCATAGTAATATGGCTATTGAACAATTTTGTTCAAAAGAACTGCCAACTATCAAATTTCATTTGTGAAGCTATGTCAAAACCAAAGATATTAACCATTGATGATTACACAAACACAATAACTTGCCATGTGTAATCTTTATACTTCATTAATTGACACAATCATGACAATGAGACAAGCACAAAGATTTCCTTGCATTATCCTTATAATCAAGTTACTGAAGATCACACAAACCCAAAGATTTACCAGGTGTTTAACACTATAATTTAGTTAATAAGAGGATATATATTATATCAAGTCTACTTTTGACAAAATTGGGCCCAGCTTTATTTTCTCAGACTAGTTACATGTAAGACAGATACTAAGTGATCAGTTTATTAAGAAGTGGAATGCAGAATTGGCAAATACTTCTAACAGAATTTATTATAGAACAAATTTTACCATATTCATTACAACTTAACTTTCATCAAAGAACATATAACACTAAATTGAGATTATCAAATTTCAAATTCACGATTGAAACTGGTCATTGGGAGGAATAATCGAATATGTGAAAAATGCGAATCTGGTTTAGTTGGAGAGGAGTTCCACCATCTTTTTATTTGTCAAAATGATACGATAGTGGACCTTCGGAAAAGATTTATTCCACAATATTTTGTTAATAATCCATGTGAAGCTAAAATGTGTGGTATGCTTATGCTATGTCATAGAGTTACTTACAAACGTCTTTGTTTATTAAAAAAATTATACTCTCTATACCCCATATGTTTTACTATTTACACTATTTATTATAGATCATATTGCTTTTTATATATTGTATAATATTATGTATTGTGTTTGCTTATGTTGCACACCTGTGTGTCTGTGTTGTTCGAAATAAAATTTTGAAATCTTGAAGTTAATGATGATCACACAAACACAAAGATTTACCTGGTGACTAACGCCAATATTATTCAAGTTACTAATATGATGAAAAAAAAGGCATCTCTAAAGGTAAAATCCTTTAAATATTAATTATGTCATCATATTAAACGATGACACTCACACAAGAACTAACCTTATGTATAAGTAATATTTTGTTTAGTGATGATACACATGTACAAGTAGTTACCTGTTCCAAACCTAATATTTGTCTATTAATGATGAATCACACAAATTTTACCTGGTGTAATCCTAATATTTGTTTATTGATGATGAAACACACAAATCTTACCGTGTGTAATCCTAATATTTGTTTATTGATGTTGAAACACACAAATCTTACCGTGTGTAATCCTAATATTTATTGATGATGAAACACACAAATCTTACCGTGTGTACCGGTAATCCTTATATTTTGGTTATTGATAATGAACACATACAAATCTTACTTGGTGCAATCTTAATATTTGATTATTGATGATGAAATGCACAAATTTTACCTGGCATAATCCTAATATTTGTTTATTGATGATGAAACACACAAATCATACCTGGTGCAATACTTATATTTTGGTTATTGATAATGACACATCCAAATTTACTTGGTGCAATCCTAATAATTGTTTTTTGATGATGAAACACACAAATTTTACCTGGTGTAATCCTAATATTTGTTAATTGATGACACACACAAATTTTACCTGATGTAATCCTAATATTTGTTAATTGATGACACACACAAATTTTACCTGATGTAATCCTAATATTTGTTTATTGATGACACACACAAATTTTACCTGCTGCAATCCTAATATTGTGTTTATTGATGATGAAACACACAAATTTTACCTGGTGTAATCCTAATATTTTGTTTATTGATGTTGAAACACACAAATTTTACCTGGTGTAAGCCTAATATTTGTTTATTGATGCTAACACACACAAATTGTACCGGGTGCAATCTTAACATATGGTTCATTGATGATGAAACATACAAATTTTTCTCAGTGTAATCATATTTTGTTCATTGATGATGAAACACACAATTTTTTCCCGGTGTAATCCTAATATTTTGTTCATTGATGATGAAACTCACAAATCTTACCTGGTGCAATCCTAATATTTTGTTCATTGATGATGAAACACACAAATCTTACCTGGTGCAATCCTAATATTTTGGTTATTGATGATGACACAAAAACGATAGTCTCCTTTTCTGATATCACAATCAGGAAACCCTTTAATGCCTACAAATTAAAATAAGGCATGTAATATTTATATCTACAGTACACTAAAGATGTTTAAGTTTAAATTATCTTCAATGAATTTCCACAAAGAATGCAGGCAATTGTCATTGCCAGTGAATCACTTGGGAATACCTCAGTATATTCCATAGCCATAGATATAAATATAAGGGTCATGATTTAGAATGGTATCACACTAATTACAAGCTATCACCTTTTTTTACACCAATTTACTCAACAGGAGCAAGAGTTATTTGTGTAACTTATAAGTAGACTAAGTTATTTTTATCCATCTGTCATGTCTGGCTGAGTGTTGTATAAAAGCTGAGAATTGCAGATACAATGTACCAGTAGTAATAACTAGTCTAATTGTAATTACCTCTTGCAAACATGCTAGTATGCTGTTGCTGGTTAAATGTGATGAACTTTTTTTATCAGATACTCTCAATTTCTTTATCCCTGCAAAGAAAATCAGATCATTTATGTCTAAAAGACAACAGCAGATATCAACAATTTCTACTTCTGTGTAACAACATTCCAGCAGCACCTACATATGGAGTATATATATTTCCAATTTGATACGATATTCCAGAGCTTGTATTTTCCTATCATGATTTCCTTGAGGGTTGCTGCCAACCAAGAAACCAAGAGTTCATAGTGGTGAAGCTGAAATCATCCCTTCGTAAATTTTACAAAAACCATCACAAGTTAGTTGACAGTTATGGATTATCTGTTTCACAGATGATGACAGATATGTTCCATTGTGTTCCAATTGTCATAACTACAATCCTGTCCCTTTTTCCCCGAATGTGACCTACCGAATTAAGACTTACCAACGGGTTTGTACTTACATGAGCAACATGACAATGCCATATTTGCAGCAAGATCTGCTTACCCTTCCGGAGATCTACCCAAGTTTCTGGTGAGGTTCGTGTTAATCAGTCTTTAGTTTTCTATGCTGTGTTTTGTGTACTGTTGTTTGTCTTTTGGTCTTTTTCTTATTTTGCAATGGCATTGTCAGTTTATTTTTCATTTATGTGTTGAATGTTACTTTGGTATCTTTCGCCTCTCTTTTACCCTTTTAGATTTCTGTATTGATGTTACAACTTATAGGGGACTTTGCAAAAAGAAACAGGCATACACATCATCAGCAAGTTTACAATAACAATGTCAGTGTACCATTGAACAAAACCAAAACCAGATGCAAATGGCGTACTACATATGCTGATAAAAAACTAAAGGAAACTATGTGATATTTATTTACACTAGAAGGGCTATTTGAAAAATGTCACATAAATCATAGAATTTTTTTAGAAATAAGATATTTTTTGGCTAAAGATCCTACTTTTAGTTTGGTTTCTTTGGGAACCATTTGGCTGCAGGGAGCAAACATATGTCAAATTTCTTCAAGTACAAAAAATGTACCATGTTTTGATATAAAATTTCATTTTTGTTATCATACCAAAATAGGAAATGGTCAATTGTTCTAAATGTATAAAAGAATTTTAGTTGTTTTCTAACTACGGAAACTGTTGTTAGGCATGTTAGGGAATAAGAATAATTTATGATTTGTTTTCATTGACAAAAATGGCGGATCGTCAAATTTCAATGTTTTTTTTTCGGGGGAAGAGAAAGGCAGATGACGAAGGTGATAAGGAAAACTTTAGGCAAAATAAGTCAACTAAAACAGATAGTTGTATTGAAATTGTTAAAATTGAAAAAAAAGTATCAAAACAACGGAAAAGGCACGTGAGCGATCGCGAACGTAAACACTGGTATACAGGTTGGGAACAATCCCCTAATGAGGGATATTCCTTAAATGAGTGACAAGAGGTCGTCTTATTGTTGAAGAAAAGAAAAAAGAAAAACTAAGATTTTTTAACTTAAAAGGGGGGAAAACTCGTTATAAAATCGAATCAAATCAATTAGTTTATTATTCCAATCAGGGTCCCACAGGGGGCATTTACAATTAACAATAATTTATGATAGTACAAATGTATAACTATAAGCAACAAACATGAGACATTGTACAGTTATGTAATATTTGGAACAACTTTTCTAAAGGAGGGTCCCTTTTTTTTAATGATAAAGTAGATATAAGTCCAGGATTATTACAAAATTCTTGGACATGTTTTGACCATATAATACCAAATAGATGTATAGTTCTTTGGAAAAAGTTTCTGTAAATGAAATAAATATGTGCTCATTTGTATCTCTTGAAAAGTATCCTTCATAAAAGGGATAGTCATTACATTGAGAGGTTTTTCCCAAGCTGAGAAATATGAACAGGACTTTTAAATGGCTAATCGTCACAGAAGGATGTTACTGTTCTGTGTACCAAAAATACAGCACTAAAGCAAGGAATTGGACAGAAACTTGGCAGGAGGAGGGAGTCCTGCAAAAGCCATCTACTATTCAATTCCATTAAATGTGAATACAATACTAACCATTCTTTTTTTGACAACACCCACAGTAAAACTAGAGGCTCTCAAGAGCCTGTGTCGCTCACCTGTATTTACTGATGCTTTGGAAATCATGTAAAATAAGGTTAAAATCATGATTAATAGTATTAGATATTAGATATTATAATGATATCTAAGATAATAACAAAAAACTGCAAAATTTTTGTAAAATTACTAACTCAGGGGCAGCAACCCAACAACGGGTCGTCGGATTTGTCTGAAAATTTCAGGGCAGATAAATCTAAATCTGATGAACATTTTTGCCCCCTGTCAGATTTGTTCTAAATGCTTTAGTTTCAGAGATATAAACCAAAAACTGCATTTTACCCCTATGTTCTATTTTTAACTAAGTTGGCCATGATGGTTGGAAGGCGGGGTCATCTGACAAATTTTTTAAACTAGATACCCTAATAATGATTATGGCCAAGTATGGTTAAATTTGTATCAGTAGTTTCAGAGAAGAAGATTTTTGTAAAAGATTACAAAAATTTACGAAAAATGGTTAAAAATTGACTATTAAGGGCAATAACTCCTAAAGGGGTCGACTGACAATTTTGGTCATGACAACTTATTTGTAGATCTTACTTTGCTGAACATTATTGCTGTTTACAGTATATCTCTATCTATAATAATATTCAAGATAATAACCAATAAAATGCTCCGCAGGGCGCAGCTTGATACAACCGCAGAGGTCGAACCCTGAACAGTTGGGGCAAGTAAGGACACAACATTCAAGCTTGATACAGCTTTGCATTTGGATTGTGATTAAATATTTGACACAGCATAGGTTTCTGACACAGAATGAATGTGGTCTAAGAACTTAAAAATTTTAAATTGGACATTCACCTATTATGGTCTAATATCCAAAATCTAAATAAATGGTTAGATTCAGCATATCAAAGAACCCCAAGAATTCAATTTTTGATGAAATCAAACAAAGTTTAATTTTGGACCCTTTTGACCTCAATGTGGACAAAGTTGATAACGGGGCCCAAAAATCAAAAATCTAAATACATGGTTAGATTCAGCATATCAAAGAACCCCATATATTCAATTTTTGTTGAAATCAAACAAAGTTTTATTTTGGACCCCGATTTGGACCAACTTGAAAACTGGGCCCATAATCAAAAATCTAAATACGTGTTTAGATTCAGCATATCAAAGAACCCTAAGAATTCAATTTTTGTTAAAATCAAACTAAGTTTTATTTTGGACCTTTGGACCTTAATGTAGACCAATTTGAAAACGGAACCAAAAATTAAGAATCTAAATACACGGTTAGATTCGGCATATCAAAGAACCCAAATAATTCAATTTTTGATGAAATCAAACAAAGTTTAATTTTGGACCCTTTGGACCGAAATGTGGACCAATTTAAAAACGGGGCCCAAAATCCAAAATCTAAATACACGGTTAGATTCAGCATATTAAAGAACCCCAAGAATTCAAGAATAAAACCCCATTGAAATTGGTCAAGAAATAAGCAATTTATACGAAGTATCTTCTTTTGCACAATACTGTGCAATTAAATATTTCTTGCTATTGCGCAATACTGTACAATTGACAATTTCTTGCTATTGCGCAATATTGTGCTATTGGATATTTCTTGCTATTGCGCAATACTGTGCAATTGAAGATTTCTTGCTATTGCGCAATACTGTGCAATTGAAGATTTCTTGCTATTGTGCAATACTGTGCAATTGAAAATTTCTTGCTATTGCACAATACTTATTATATAATAATTTACACATCCTGTTTGGTGTGTATCTCCTACCATATCATTATTATTTGCTTTTAAATATAAATCAGAAATAACCAACTTAAAATGGAAAATTTAAAAAGAAAAAAAAAAAGGAAAAAAAAAAAATCCCCCCCCCCCCAAATTTTTTGAACCCCCTTATGATTCATCACCCCAAAACTTAATCCTCACCTTCCCTTTGTGGTATGGTACCTTGCAGTACAATTTCAGAGAGATCCATACACTTGAACACAAGTTATTGTCTGGAAACTAGAAAAATGTGTTTTTTGGCCCCTTTTTGGCCCCAAATTCCTAAACTTTTAGGGCAATTACCCCCAAACTCAAACCCAGCTTTCCCTTTGTGATATGGAACCTTGTAGTACAATTTCAGAAAGATCCATACACTTACACACAAGTTATTGTCCTGAAACTAGAAAAATGCTTGTTTTTTGCCCCTTTTTGGCCCCTAATTCCTAAAATATTGAGGCAATTACCCCCATCATCAATCCCAGCCTTCCCTTTGTGGTATGGTACCTTGCAAGACAATTTCAGAGAGATCCATACACTTGAACACAAGTTATTGTCTGGAAACTAGAAAAATGCTTATTTTTGGCCCCTTTTTGGCCCCCAATTCCTAAACGTTTCGGCAATTACCCCCAAACTCAATTCCAGCTTTCCCTTTATGATATGGAACCCTGTAGTACAATTTCAGAAAGATCCATACACTTACACACAAGTTATTGTCATGAAACTAGAAAAATGCTTGTTTTTTGCCCCTTTTTTTGCCCCTAATTCCTAAAATTTTGAGGCAATTACCCCCAAAATCAATCCCAGCATTCCTTTTGTGATATGGAACCTTGTGGTACAATGTCAGAGAGATCCATACACTAACACACAAGTTATGTCTGAAAGTTACAAAAATGCTTATTTTTGGCCCCTAATTCCTTTACTGTTGGTACCATAACCCCCAAAATCAATCCCAACCTTCCTTTCGTGGTATTGAACCTTGTGGTAAAATTTCAAAGAGATCCATTCATTTAAACTAAAGTTAGAGTGCGAAAACCAATGTGTCTTCGGACGACGCCAGACAACGCCAGACGTCGACGCCAACGTCATACCAATATACGACCACAAAAATTTTTTTGCGGTCGTATAAAAACTGCAAAATTTCCTTAAAATTACCAATTCAGGGGCAGCAACCCAACACTAAGGTTGTCAGATTTGTCTGAAAATTTCAGGGCAGATAGATCTTGACCTGATAATCAGTTTTACCCCTAAGTCAGATTTACTCTAAATGCTTTGGTTTCAGAGATATAAGCCAAAATCTACATTTTACCCCTATGTTCTATTTTTAGCCATGGCGGCCATCTTGGTTGGTTGGCGGGGTCATCGGACACATTTTTAAAACTATATACCCTAATGATGATTGTAGCCAAGTTTGGTTAAATTTGGCCCAGTGGTTTCAGAGGAGAAGATTTTTGTAAAAAGCTAACGACGACGGACGACGACGACGACGGAAAACGGACGACGGACGCCAAGTGATGAGAAAAGCTCACTTGACCCTTCGGGTCAGGTGAGCTAAAAAACCCGGTTGGAAAAGTATAAAAAAAATAATACGACCAGTTGCAAGTGATTTTTTCAAAAGACCCACCTTACCTTAGTGAAAAATGGAGAACACTGATTTATCACCAAAATTACATTAATATCTCCAATTTACGAGTCATCTCATCTAACATGTTATCATGGTAAAAAACTTATTTTTTTCAAATTTAATCTAAGTTATTTTGGTTGCTATGGAATTCATTCTGTTGTTATGACATGTATAAGGAAAAATGGGACAACTTTAATGTTATAAAGAAAATAGTTTCCATTCAGATTATTCATAGACAGTCAGCCATATCATTGCTTCCATAAACATGATAAAAACAAATTGATATTGACATATATTTGATGATGTAATTTTCTACATACCCTTAAACATGTATTACCACAACCAGGAAAACATATTAAACATACCATGATGGAACTTTAGATAGCTGACTGTTAATCTAAGTATTGCTGCTTTGTCAACTCTTTTCTCTGACTTGGCACTCCATGGATTCTCTTCAGCTAACTGTGCAAATAGGGTATTCAATTTGTCACGTCTAACTTTCTCACCTTTCTTTCTTGATATTCTAAAAGGAGATGGGCACTTCTGTGTGTTTTTATATGTTTATTTCAATCATCATTTTCAATACTACAATTCAGATGTTTTAATCATCAACATGATCATTTCATAATCCAATCATATTCTTACTATGTTCAGGGAGCTTTGGGGAATGACTTACAATGACTAACATGTAATTGCCATAAATTCTGGCACCTATATAAAAGATTGGGAATCTATTCAAAATAGTTAGATCTTCTTCAATCCATGCATTCCATGCTATGGTGCCTTGCATCAAACTTTCATTTTAAATGCCCTTCTGTCATATCAGCAATCAGGGGCGTAGCTACCCGGAGGCACGGCAGCACGTGCATCCACGTCTTTTTCACAAAAAAAAAAAGAGAGAGAGAGAGTGAGGGACAAAGTTAACATATAGGAATTGGTCTTTCTATGTATGCATTTTAAAAACTACACAAAGAATAAAAGCAAGAGGAATACACATGCAGCAGAATTTTTAATCCTGTAAGACATGTATGTGTAAGATAAATACATACAACTGGTGTAAACTTAGAGGAACTTTTTATATTACGGGCATTGTTTAGAAAATACCAGCTACATAGTTGTTGGTACCACAACCATACCGTATACTGACTCGCTTTGAGTGTAAAAAAAAAACTTAATCCCTCTAGGCATGCTAGGGTTAACAAAAAAACTTGAAAATTATTATTTTCCGCTTCGCCCCAAAGCACACATCTTACTAGAATGAAGACTCTTCAACTCGTATCGATCCGGGAATAATGACTGTAACCTTGTGAACTAGTTCAATCTTGACTAAGTCATGTAAGTATGTAGGTCTTGACAACACGAATAGTTCATTTTCACATCACGTCAACGTATCTCGCCCTGTGTGCATGTAATATTTGCTACCGGACATTAATAACCATTCAATTAATTAATAGTTTCCGTATACTAGTAGATGAGAAGTTGGAACTGTTATTATAAAAAAAATTTACACATTTTCCAGTCATGCCAGTACATGTTTTACGTTTTTATTTATTTTACAAAAAAAAATCTTTTATATAGATTCGATCATTCGAAGTCGTTTCTATATGGGCCGGCTATACGAATGGTTGATTGTAAAACCATTTAAACAAATTGTTAATTCTAACTCGTTTTACTGGACTATTAGGTCAGTCAGGGGTACTACTTGTACAAGTAATCTTTATTTACTTGAAGAAGTAAATAAAATAAACTTATATAAGTTAATTATAATGTTTGAATAATCTCCCCTTAATTTTCTCAAAAATTTACTTGTATAAGTAAATTTTTTTTACAATCCCACAAAAATTCTCAAGTTTTGAGATGTAAAAACATGCCTTTAACAATTTTTGTCAGGTTAGCTCATAATTTTTGATTAGAGTTCAATGTTTCATCTCATTAATTCAACAAAGAAACTGATTGCGCAAAGATCTTAAGTATTTGCGCAAGGCCTTCAAAAATTGCCCCTTGGGGGCTTGTAAATGAGCAGTGTTCTGAAGATAACAGACAAATGAGATTTTCATTGTCCATGAAATTACACTTAAATGATTAGTAAAGACATCTGCAAAGGACAGACAATCAAAAATTCTATTAGAGCAAAGAAGTCCTAAGAATTCAAGAAAAGAAGATAGGATGACTTTTTTACTTGTATAAGTAAAAAAATCTGAATGTCTAAGGGACATAACTAAGCCCAATTTTTTTTTACCTATACAAGTAAATAAAATACACTTGTATAAGTATCCATCAAATTTACTTATATAAGTATATTAATATTTACTTCTTCAAGTAAATAAAAATTACTTGTACAAGTAGTACCCCTGACTGTAGGTCATTCAATTTTAAAAAGAACTGTCTGTCCGAGTAGGACACTAAACTGCTGATTCTTGTTCGAAAGATACACCAAACTTTTATTACACGTATCTTCACTGTTATCATCTACATATTGCCATACAACTGGTCGAATGCATATATGCATTTGTTAATTAGCTGGCTAATTAAAAACGCAGATCATGAAAAAGATTGTGATCAAAGTACCATTTACTCTGAAAAAGTTCATTAATTTCATTTTCGAATATTCCTACATTTGTAACTATGTAAAAATCGAAATTCCCATCTCTCTCTTGTAGAGTTTACCCACAAAATTTTTAAACATCTAAATACATATGTTAAGCAAAATATATGAGAATGTGTCCACCAAGTATTTGGTATCCATGATGTTTTGCTAACAGAAACTCCACATATAGTATTGTGTTTATGTTTATTGTTTGTTTTTTAAAATCTACTTTGCTCAATACAAATACTAGCATATGGAACAAATCTCCGTGATTTTAAAAGCTTTCATGTACAAAAAACGCAAGCGACAATGTTAAGTCTTCATTCGACTCGAAGTTAAACAAATAGTTGACCAAAAAACCACAACAAAAATGTCCAAGTTTTATTTCGGTTGTGATTGTTTTGAAACGCTATATATGCGGAGCTTCCGGAGGGCTTCGCCCCCCTGGACCTACTGGGGGCCTTAGGCAGCCCCCAGACCCCTCGCCCTATAGTTTGTGATTCCACTTCATTAATAAGGTAGCTATGCCCCTGCCAATGGACTAATTAAATGATTAAAAATGAGATAATCATACAAACATGAAGATTATTTAAAAGCCTTTTACACTTATCTAAAAAGCTGCACAAATTATAGCTGAAAAACCTGAACAAGAACATATGCAGTAATAGCTTTTTAGGTAAGGGGGGGGGGGGGTGTTGTACTATAGAAATCTATGAAAGGCAGACATTCATGAAACACAGTATTTTACCTTTTTGTCATTTAAGTATAGATTTGGTACCATTAAGTACAATGTAGGTGTGTTCTGGGTTTTCTATTGGTCCATTCTTTTCATCCGACATATTTTTTACTTACTTTTTGCTTGTTTATTTGTGTTAGAAAAAATCAAGTACTTCCCCATTTTTGTTTCATTCATAGCCTCAATGTAGGACAATTTGTGAAATATTTGACTTTTATTCATTATTTCAAATGATGTTTACAACTGTCATGACTTACAAATATCCTTATTACAGCATAGCTTTTTCAAGATTTTTTTTTTGTGAAGGAGGGGTTTGTTGTTGTTGTTGTTGTTGCTAACTTCTAAATTGCACAGAAAAATACTGGAAAGGAGAGGTATGATAAGAGTTATTGTTGACTTCAAAAATGAAAGAAAAGATATATCAAACAAATGAAGTAGTACTGGTCCCGTACCAGTTACCATCACAAATTCACAGTTTTTCTCAAATAACTATTAACAGGAATTACTTTTGGAAATATCCTTTTAACATGAAAAGGGTTACCAAAAGTTAGGTCTAGGACCATACCTAGACTCAGACTTTAATTCCTCTTATATCATGTATATACAGCAAAAAGCGGGATATTAGCGTGCCAAATTTTGCTTGAAATTTCATGTATACAAGGACCAGTTAACGTCATTTATGAATCTAGTTTCTAAATTAAAGAAATGTCCTATCAATAAGAAAATTATTGTCATATTTTTCTGTTTTCAGACAAACAGAGTTGGAGGTTTGTCAAATTAACCACTAATATTGTCATTCCATCTATAAATTCCAAATCTCTTGGGCTTTCGCTTAATCTGAAAGGATATCAAATTCATGTTACCAGAATCAAAAAATTACACTGCATTGAAAGGGATCATAGAAATTTATTCTAAAATTTATAAACCTTTTTCATTCCTTTTAAGGAAATTTTATGTCCAAAGTAAGCTTTGCTATTACTTTTATCAGTTTTCTAAAAATCGAAGGTGTCATAAAGTGATGATGTCATGTCCCAGCATGCGTATCTTCCTACTAAAGAAGGTAGACTGGTAAAGAACAATCCGAGTCTTGATTAGATCAAACAAAACCAAGTTTTCAAATATGAAATATGAGTATTTTTATGAAGATAATTTAGCAGTATGCCATATTTATGCAATGTGTGCATTATTGCATAAAATGCAAGATGATGGTAACTGGTAGGGTGCAGGCCGTTTCGTAACCTGGTCGTTTCGTAACTAGTCGATTCGTAACTTACTAGGTCGTTTCGTACCTGAGACGTTTTGTAACCTTATATCAATATATATTAACAATATGAGTCGTAGGTTAAGTAAAAAATGATAAAAAGACTTATTGATGTATATATATATATCTATATTTATTTATTAAATAATTGATTTCACATAATTTTACACTTTACAAGTACACAGTTTTGCATTTAGATGTACCCCGTCTATATCAAAGTATTTAGTCTTCAGCCACGTGCTTTGATGTCTCCAATACTTGACACCACTCATCTTTATGTTGCTAAGTTCTTTATTTATCTTCTATTTAAATGTCTCAATGACTGTACTTTTCTCCCGCCTACCCCGTGAAGCTTTGTTTGGACAGAACTTGATAAGTCGGATTGCGTTCTTAACATCCAATTTTCCAGTCTTCGGATGAAACTGTGACCGATCACAAGTACTTTGGGCTTATCTACTGTTAGTGACATATTTGGCGTTTATAGATGAATGAAAAGGAGTAAAAAAAAATGCTATTATACCATTAAGTGAACGGATGAAAAACTGATCAGGCTTTATGCCAGTATAAACTAAAACATGCAAATAAAGGACAACATAGTGATGTATCTGAAAGAAAGAAAAAGAATAGAATAAGATAAAGTGTTTAAAAAAAAAACAAACTTTGAACTCCGCCAACGCCGGTCCCCAGTCGGGTGAAAAAGGAGGAGGGTTATGCGCATGTAAAAGTGAAAAAAAAGGAGAATTATTATTTTTCTCAGGTCGTGTGCCATTAATCTACTTAATCACTTTACACCTACTGTAATTACTTTTTATTACCTGTCATTAGTTGTCATAAAACCATAAAAGTTGTCACCGAGCGTATTTACCTATTAGCCAATTAGCCAATAATAAAAAAAATTTAAGAAAGTTTTAAATTAAAAATATTACAATATTGTTATTATTAGATGAACAATTTGATCATTTTTAAATAATAACTTTAACTGTTTCAATCAATTTTTAAACTAACACTTTATAACCATATATAATTACACCAGGTACGAAACGCCTCAGTTACAAAACAACGCAGTTACGAATCGACCAGGTACGAAACGACCAGGTTACGAAACGACATGCATTCAACTGGTAACTGACTGTAACTGGTCCTCTACCAGTACGTACTTTATTGGCTTGATGTTACCAAAAAAAATAATTGAAATAATACAATGTGACCTTTTACTACTTTATCTTCTTCAAACTATCCACTAACAACAATTGTTCAAATGCTTTTTTCATAACTTGCACTAATACGTCTTGTATGCACTTCTGCTTGCATTAAATAAAGTAGTAAGAAAAGCTTTTTTAGAAGCTAAAACTTGTTTCCATAAAGACCTTAAAGTCCTTAAAAAATGAAGGAGAATCTGAAATTTCATTAGAAAATTGAAAGGAAATATAATGTTTTATAACCCAATAGCGCTGATATACCCGTATTGAGCTTTAAAAGCTCAAACCGTAGATAAACAGAACATGTTGTAATGTATTTACAATATTTGACCGAAAAATGATAGTGCCTAGTGGGTCAAATGTCAATGATTTATTTACGATCGTTCCATAGAAATGCTTTACTTCGTGGGTGGTTTTGATCTTTAACTTTCAACAACAACAAATAAAATAATACGTATTATGATTACAAACCTTGGACAATTGTCACTGTCCTCACCATTTATGTTGCTCATTTTTAGAACTAAACATGTTTTTTCGATTTTGTATCAAGTCAAAAATAGAACCGGAAAAATAAAGCGACACATGCGCACTTCACTTCTTTCAACTAGTTTCAACTAGACGACTTTTAAAAGGCACTGGCTACGATTACGTTTTAAAAAACGTAAAAATAACAAAAAGTTATTGTTACGTTGGACACTAATTGCCTGAATGCTAGGTTGGGTTAGGAATCGATTAATTACAAACGTAACAGTAATATTTGTGTCTACAGTTACGTTGCGTTATATTGATACGTTATAATTATTTAACTTTTAATCGACTTTAATTTAGTTTTTTTGTTGAATTCTCCTATTCATAATAATCATGATAATATTATCATTATCATTATCATTATCATTATCATTATCATTATCATTTTCATTATTATTATTATTATTATTATTATTATTACTCAACAATTTTTTTAATTTTCTTCAAATAATCGTGACTACAGTTTATGTAGTAGTGCCAAAGGCGAAACATATGCTAGCAGTGTAATATAAGGTTCGATGTTTAGAATAAAAGTATTTACTTCTATGTATTTAACTGCACACTTACCCTTATTACTGTCATTATACTTTCAACAATGGACGAAGGTATTCCCATTACCAAATTTTCTTTTATTGGAACATTAAAAACTTTGGATGCGTCTGAATAAAAAAAAAGAAAAAATAGATTAAAAATTCTTTACAGTTATATAAAAAACGTTCCTGAAAAATTGATACATCAAAAGCAAAGTTTGACAGTGGTGAACTACGAGATGGAGCTAGTACGTCCAAACCAAAGGTATTTTTTTTTTCTTCCTATATTAATATCAATTGGTCATAAAATCAATGTGAATGGTATAACTTCAAAAAGGGAAATTGCAGAGTGGTACTGTTTAGTGTGCAAAACCGATGTGCATATTACAGCATCACTCCAAAAAATGCGTCGGACTAAAACATGCACCGAAAGCACATATTAGATGTGCAGAAGCTGCCAGTGTAAATAAAATATAATAATCTGTATGCAATATTGTATATTTGAATTGTTTACGAATAAAAGTTTTTAAGTTGTGTTTTAATATTATATTACATACACATGGAACATACTATATATATATATTGTATAGTTGTCACTTGCTTAGACTTGCTTGTATGATATACTTATTTCTAGTGACTGCATTATCCCATACGGTATATAAAAAAAAATGTTGAATTAGATTGCTGACAAATAAAAATACATTAATTGTGTATAAAAAAAAATGATATAACATCTGCACACGCTTAAAACACATGTCTTATGTCTATCTCTAGATTCGCCGTACGTGACAAGGTAACACTACGACTCTTGAAGTAAAATTTTTGTATAGCGGATGTGGTCGAGTGGTCTAGAGCGCTGGACATGAGGCTAAGCGATTGGTGCTGTAGTGTATCAAAGGTGTGAGTTCAAATTCCGTTGAGGGACAAATATCTGTCAGCATAAAAATCTGATTCTAACGCTGTTGGGCTTAATTTTCAGACTTATATATTACTATTCCCAGCACATATTGAAATGCATATAGTTAACGTAACAATAACACAACGTAACCGTAGACTTAACTATTATTGTTGCGTTCATAATTAATCGGTTCCTAACCCAACCTAGCATTCCGGCAATACGTGTCCAAAGTAACAATAACTTTTTTGTTATTGTTACGTTTTCAAAGTATTCGTAGCTGGCTCCAGTGCCTTTTAAAAAACAAATGCATGAACCTGATTTTCTGTATTTTTTTTTTTGTTTTTGATTTAGGGATAATACCAAAAGATCAATGTAGGATTAAAAAAAATTGAATTCACATAGTTCGGGGGTGTGTGTGTCAAACTGGCTGCAAGTTTTGTTATCCTACATTGCCGACTTTTCGGGTTAAAACCTTTGCAACAACTCTGTTTATAGCTACATGTAGGTGGCCTGTTGCATGGTTAAACTTCTGTCCATATTCAATTTATCCTCGTTTTCCAGTGGCAGTCCAAATTTCCAGCCTTTTGTCCCGATTGACCCCTATTACTGGACCTACCTATTTCATGTATAATTGTTAATTTGTTCTGGTCCATAACTTGCATAAAATATTTGCCACTGGACGTTAAGCAACTACCAAACAACCATTGTTCAGGAAACAACACTAAAATGCATTTAAAAAAATGCATTTAAAAACATTCTTCAACGCATATGCATATACCGGTTTCTCAATATGTTCCTTATTAAGTTACAAAAAGGGGAAGGGGGTCTAGCAAAAATCTATGTGAATTAAGTTTTTTATCCTACATTGAACTGTTGATGTGGTCCCTCATAGACCGGATATAATGGTATATAGAGATGCACATTTTAATACTATTACTCATACATTTTTATAAGAAGACAGCTGCCGTGGATTATCGATGGAACTGTTGTTTGATGTTCAAGATTTATCAGATTCTTTTCATTTATTTTATTCCGTTTACTTTTCATTTCTTTTCTTCCTATTTAGAACAGAGATTATATATAAATAAGTATATATAGTGTCTATGTTTAGAGTGAGCAAATGAAGAATGAAAACAACATTTTATAAATTTCTTGCGTCCAAAGCGCTTTTCTGGATTTACCTAATTCATCAGCAACGCTCAAAGCCGAATATCAAAAAGCCAAGGATGTACTAGTATCAGAACCGAAACAGTTGAAGAGCTATATAGATATAGGAAGATGTGGTATGAGTGCCAATGAGACAACTCTCCATCCAAGTAACAATTTATGAAAGTAAACCATTATAGGTCAAGGTACGGTCTTCAACACGGAGCCTTGGCTCACACCGAACAGCATGCTATAAAGGGCCCCAAAAATTACTAGTGTAAAACCATTCAAACGGGAAAACCAACGGTCTAATCTATAAAAAAACGAGAAACGAGAAACACGTATGAACTACATAAACAGACGACAACTACTGTACATAAGATTCCTGACTTAGGACAGGTGCACACATTTGCAGCGGGATTAAACGTTTTAATGGTACCAAACCTTCTCCCTTTTCTGAAACAATAGTATAACATCACAACATAGAATGCCTGACCAAAGAGGACCTTAAATAATAGCCAAATCCATCTAAGGTCAACTTTGCCTGAGAGAGTTGAAACCTTAGTTACCTTATTATTTCTAAATGTATAAACGGACAATTTAAGAAAGGTTTGATATAAATCATGTCAGTACAGAAGTTCTAACTACTGAGCTAATGATACCCTCGGGAACGGACAGTCCACCAGCAGCGGTCATTCTTTTACCAATTGATGTGAAAAATATTAAAACAGCACTTACGTTAAGTTTTGCTAAACATGATATCTGAATATTAAGAATCTTACCGTTGTAGTCTGATATGGGACTTCAAAGTTCCAAGCCAAACAAATCTAGTCCAGAGGACTAGAAAGATTTTCATCAAGGTCCACTTTATTTTCCCGTAAACAATGACTAGAAAGATTTTCATCAAGGTCCACTTTTTTCCCGCAAAAAATAAAACAATATCAAGACCAAAACTGATCGTAGGTGAATTACAGATTCAGTTAAATGTTTAAATCGTATGATTATTTTTTTCTCGCAAGGCGTATCTTTAATGAGCTACATAACATAAATTAGTTTTGTGCACAGACCCAAAGAAAATCGAAGATGCTAATATATTTTCAATCAATTATCTTGATTATTGATGATATTTAAATCAATACTTAAAAACGCATTTCATTCACTTAAATGAAAAATCAAACTTTTATTCTATAAATGGAAATGTGCATGTCAACATTTTTTAAGTGATCATGCATATCTCCACCGGAAGGCCCCTGGCAGACTGTTATTGCGTAAAATCATTGTTATCGAAATGAATTGACAAACACGATAAATGTAAAATCAGTAATATCAACAACATACTGGGTACGCATATATACATTGTTTTCAGCTGCAATGAAAAAAAAATATATAATTTTCAGTACAGGTGTGGTTTAAAATATGATACATTTTTCCTGTAAATTTCCAGTTCATAAATTACGTGATTTCACTATTACGAAGGTTGCAAATCACACAGTAATCTTGTCCTAAATATGCATGAAATATTTGCCACTGGACGTTAAGTAAACACCCATCAATGAATACTAATCGACTTCAAATGTTTTGACTGTTCTGTTTATTAGGTCTTTCTGGTTTTTATGCTCTGAAATGTTTTTTTATATTTACGTCTTGCCAAATGTTTCGTTCCTAGTGTAGTGCTACCTTCAGGATGCATATTCATCAACGATGTATTGTCCTCACTGAAATGAACCAGCCCAAGTATGAACACAATTGGCGGGAAAAGAAAACTTAAAAAAATTGACACCGTTTTATAGACAAGTTTGTTTATCTACTAACCGTAGAGCGAATCTTTAAGAAGTGCACTTGCTTCAATAAAAAAAATCATTGTAATTAAGTATATCAAAATACTGGTGTAAAAAATAATCCTCTTAGGTTACCACCTTATAGTTGAGATATTTCGGAAACAGCATACAGCAAGAGAAAAAGATGAGACACATTCTTTTGAAAGTTACAGGAATTAATATCAGGAAGACCCATACAAGCGATTGTCTCTAAATGTTGGTAGGATGGCAAACATTTCGGTTTTTATAGTTCCTATTGAAACCATATTGAAAGTCACATTTCATCTTTTTCTCTGACAAGTTACACGCCATTGAATGTAGAAGGAATGGTGAAAATTAAGAATGTCTCCTAAACTGATCCTGATTTGGTTCTGATCGAATTAAAACATGGACTCATGGTACAGTCTTTGATTCTGGTTGACTCATTTCCGAAAATCTTTTCCGCTGAAACTCAGGGCGAAAGTTATTGAAACTTTAGGTGATTGATGATTGGAGTAGCATCTGATACGATCCTCATCGGGTGGCAACTGTAGTGGGTTAATTTTGGTCACACATAGTTCCAATGGAAACGCTGTGGAATATCACATTTTGGTGTTTTTGTCTTAAATTACATGTAGTTGGCCAATTATAACCAAGCT